GGAAGGAAGGAAGGAAGGAAGGAAGGAAGGAAGGAAGGAAGGAAGGAAGGAAGGTTTTATAGTTGTTTTGGAGATGAATGGATTTGGGATATATGGAGTATGGAAGTTACAGGGGAGAATATGGAAGACCAATTTCATGAACAGAAGTGTTCTAACTGAGCTGTATTCTGATGCTTTTTGAACACAACAGTGAAGTGGGCTACCAGGCAGCGGTTACTTAAATTGGGTTATATACAAGTTGCTGAAAGAAGTTACATAGTATTATATGATCACTGAACAATAACCACATACAGTATCTATGTTTTTAGGAAAGGAACTGCTGATGTACAAAGCAAAGTCAGCACAGGAGGTAATGATGAACTAACCCTCCAGTCAAGTGCACTTTCTAAATACTTGTCTCTACAGTATTAGAGACAGACTGAAATTGGTGCATTCCCAAACCAATACTACTGGCTTCAACCAATTACATTTGGTTCAATTATTTCTAAACCACTGATGGGCCTTCAATTAGTGCTGCTTGCATGATTCCACACAGGAGCTTTCAAAGCTCCTCTTGCATGGCAAACATTTTTCCTGATTAAGTGAAGAAGTAAACACTTGATTGACTTTTGCTATAAATGCGGACATTCCAAGGCTAAAAGACTAAACCTTTTCACAATCTTAGAATTATCCACACTATCTTTAACAAAATTTCCATCAAGAGAGGTGTTAGTGTAAATTTGAATTACTGTATATCTCAAACTCTTCTCATAGTACAACTTTACATTCTCCATGAAAAATAATATATATCACTGTTTATTCTGATATGGTATATGCTAAACAATGAAATCTTTTAAAATTGCAGAAAATGCACATAAGAAATACCAAACAATTTTTTGCTTTGTTTTTTACCTTAGTCTATATCCCTCCAATATGGAACATTTGAGGACAAAGCCCCTTCTCCCCACTTTTTTTTGCATTTATGTCCCGATAGCAGAAAATGAAACAATAGCTTCTCAGTTGGGGTTATTTTAGTCAAGCCCGATAACTGAAATTGAGGTTAATTGACCTTTATATAATGGGTACACAGGACAGTGCTTAAACTGCACACATGGAGAGCAAGTTTATTTGGAAAGCAAATTGAATTAATTGACATTCATTGCGCAGCTTTCTGTTGGTTATTGCTAGCTGCTCATGTGAATAGTTTGTTGATGGTATAGATAGGACAAACATTCATTTCTGATAAATAAGATTTTCAGTTGAATAGGTTTTAATTAGATGAGTTCTACCTGGACTTTCATTTGTACAATTTGAAACTAATCCTTTCAGGTAAATTTTTAATGCCTCCCTTTTAACACTCGAGCACAGAGGCCTCAAACTCAAATCATCATGAAGGCTACATGAGGACTATTCATTAATCCACTGATGCAATACAGAAGGCTTTTCTAGCATTGATACAAAAGTCCAAGGGATTCAAAAGAAAATGAAGAGTATCATGGTATGCTATTAACCACACAAAATAAAAATAATAAAACTCCAACCCTAATTCTGTGTATGAAATCCATAGTTGAACTTGAAAGGGATCCTCCCATTCATTTACATTTTGTCTCTTAACAAATACTTAATGGTATATTAAAACAGTATCAATGTACGCTTTCTGACTGGATATGTGAGCAGAAGTGAAATTAAAGAAGATAGGAACTTAAGGTAAACATAAATGAATATTGCTGTACTTTTCCACACTTCCATTTTGATTTTTCAGCCCCATTTTTTCGTCAGCTATTTAGGGAAGGGGTATCCTTTATTTCCAAGGGATTTCCTTTCTTTCTTCCTACACATTTCTCATTCCTAAAAAGGATCTTTTGCACAGACTGACAGCCATAGAAATGTTTCTTCCTGTTCTTCCATAAAAATAATGACTGCTTTTGGAATGTCATCAATCCAAGGTTTAAAGGAAGAAGGAATAAACCACATTCCAAGACAAAATGTTTCCTTTCCAAGTCTACTTGACTCTGTACCACATTTCCTAGGGTGTTGTTGCAAGCTACAGAAGATGACTCAGAGGGTTGCATGCAGTCTACCAATTGTGAGTTTAAGAACGACCGTCTCTTTGGGGCTTATATCTAAATAATTTTTTACTTCCCCCCATCTAAAACACATTCTGCATATGCTGCTGCCATTTATTACATTTTTATGATAATGACAGTACAAATTTGTATTTCAGGCAGCTAACCATGCTGAGGCCTTGGGATTATGTGCCCTCCTGACAGCCTAATATATACCCCATAACTTCGCTAACAATTGCCATTGAATTATAATTTGAATGGGACAAAAAGAGAAGAATTATTAAAGACATGGGGACTAATCTGTTTTAATTAATCACATATAATTCTAACTCAGATTTGACTGAAATGAAATAAAAACTAATTTCTTCTTCTAGCCCTGGCTAGTTCACTGTCCTATCCAAATTATTTTTTGAAGTCTGGCTTCTGAAATGCCTCAGATGAAAAAAATACCCATATTATAACATTTTTAACTGTTGAAAGCATTTGACTTGCATTATTTAGTTTGTATTATTTTCTCCTATAGTAAATAATAGGGATAGTGGCATGCCTAATATTAAGTAGAGTTGCCAGGGAAAAGATATGACTGAAATGCTGTAGATGCTGAACACAAGTCCTGATTAGACTGTTGTATGTCTGACTCCATCATCAATGAGCCTTTTTGTTACAGTTCTATAGTTGTGGCTTAACCCATGACTGCAGTAGTAAGAATAAATTCTTACGAAAGCAAGAACAGCTTCCTTTCATTCTCTTTTAAGAACCATAGGAAGTATCCTTAAATTAGGACACATCTTTGTCCATTATCTCAATATTATTTATGCTGGTTGGTAACAATTCTCCAGAGTCTCAGACAGAAATAGTGTTTCCAATCACATATCCCTAACCTTTCAAAACAGGAGCTTCACAGCCTTTTCCCCTTCTTCCAAGAAACAGCAGCAACTTATGCAGACCAAAACAAAGACATAAGATAGGGAAAACATGAGGTCATCCCACACCTAAACTACAAATTAGGAACTGAAAAAGTGAAACAGAACATGCTTCCAAATAAACTAACCCAATAAGTAAGGTCATAAAATGAAGGGACAGTAAAGAATAGCTCATATGCTTTCTTTCCACCTGATTTGCAGTTGAAAATGCTGTAAATATGCGTTATAGATCATTTCAAGTCCAACTTGAACATCACTTTCTAATTTTGCTAGGGCCTTATTTCCAAGCCTTATCCTGCTATACTACCCTTCCTTCTGGACAAATATCACAATATGTTATTTGCAAAGCTACCTATGGTTCCTTATGCTTTTTGGAAGCCTGCAACCATGTCAGTGGGGTTAGTCATATCTGACTTGATGATCATTCACCCAGGATCTGTGTTTCATTCTACCAATGCAGATTTTCTTAGCTGCAAGTATTAGTATAGTTCAATTGTGATGTGGAAAAATTGAAACATAACACACTCAAGGAAGTTACTGCAAAATCATTAACAAAATTAGAGCAGCTGGCTTTTCAAAGTTGAGAGATTACAGATCTTAAACAGACTTCCAGCTGAAAAATCTGGGCTGTTTTATAGCCCATCTCTTGGTAGAATCTTTGTTCACCCTCTGAATTGTAATACATGCAATGATAGCTAAAATAATAATATTATATTCTTACATGAACATTACAACAATTCAGTGACATTGATTTATTTTATTTTGAACTCTGGTGTTGGAGAAACTCTTGACAATACCATGGATAGTCAAGGGGGGGGGGGGAATTGATCAAAGAACAAAGCAATCTTCAGTTCTCAGTTAAAGTACAAATGGCCAGGCTCAATTTATTGTATTTTAGACACATTATGCAAAGATTCAGAAATCAATAATGCTGGGAAAGGTGAAAGGAAACAGAAGAGGATGGCCAGCATCAAAGTGGATGGACCTAGTTACAGCAGCAGGTTGGGAAATGCTGAACAGCCAGGAGGCAGACAAATCATTCTGGACGAGTCTATCTGTGTGGTCACTAAGAGTCAACACTGACTTCATGGTACATAATCAATTTATTTTTAAGGGAATATTTACACATCTTTATAAAATGCATAGCTGATGTGACATTACTGAGGAAGAGACAATATTATACACTTTTTTTAAAATTATTGCTTGGTAAATAAATATGTATTTCTAAATGTCTATTTGTACATCACACACATTAAAAAAGACTTGTGGGAAAAGAAAATGACTTGCTGTTAATAATTAACCTTCTATAATCTGAAGAAAATAATGAAAGGTACATGAGGAAAAATGAACATATGGATGAAGTATTCAGGATACACAATTAAATGTCATAAATAATGTAATCTCTCTCTCTCTCTCTCTCCTGTATACACTGTGTGTGTATATATATATATGCATTCATTTACTTTATGGTAATAGAAACTGTTTTAACTGATTAGACATCATTCTTCACAGTGAATTAATTAAAATAGGCCTAGAAATATTTATATGAAAAAAAGTGATCATTACATTTTAATTGTATTAAAAAGTATTTTATAGAAATATAGCATTAGATTAAAAGGATGGCTATATATTTTTTCAAATAAAATAATAATTATATACATTTTTACAATATTTAAATTTATAGGTGAACAGTCACAGAATAATAAACTAATGTTATTCTCATATTATAGAAATTTAATTTCCTATACAAATTCTGTATACAACTCAATTACTGCATTTTAGGAAAATTGCAAATAATAACATAAGAAATTTATATTATTTGTTTGCATAGTGTGATAAAAAGATGGGAATCAAATACAGTCTCAAAATTAATAATGTATACTATTGTCAATTATTGCATACTTTGCAAACAAATAAGTTCAATGCATTTCTTGAAACTGCCAAATCAGTATTAATAATTTGCTGGAAATTTAAACAACGTTCAATCTGATTCAGTGATGGAGATTTTCTGGACCATGTCAGAGAGATTTTCTGCATCTAGGTCTTCTTTGCTGTTATCTGATGTTTCTGATGAGATGTAACAACCAGAATCTCTTGGACAGTCATTTAATTGTGTCTTGTTAAGGTTGACGTTAGGGTTCAACATCTGTGGCATTTGTTCTCTTTCCTGGTCTTGTTCATCTGAAAAAAAAAAAAAATTAAAACCCTCTTAGAGATTAAAAACTAGTTCAACAAGACCTGAGGAAAAGCATAAAGTACCTTACAAAGTTCTTCCAATAGTGAAATAAAAGTCTGTTACTGAATGGCAGTTAGAACAGAAAACAAGTGGTGTCAGCCATGAAGCTTATTGCATAACATTTATTTTTCAACCCAACTTGATTCATTAAGTTTTTTATTAAGTTGGTTTATAGGTATTATTTCAACGTCATGTGTTCATAAAGCAACATACACATGAGAAAGATAAATTAAATGATTCTTCTCCATCCTGGTGTCCTCCAGATGTTTTCAATTACAACTTGCGATGGTATGTGGGAATGACCTTGAGAGACAGGGAGAAGTGCCACAGACAGGGAATTGGTTGGATAAGAGGCAGCTTAGCCTACAGCGGGAATGTGGACATGGGAAACATCTCAGAAGGGACCTTCCCTAGTTTCTTGGGCTGTAAAGGTGATGGGGATGAAATGTACTTTCATACTTGCAAGATTCTGTTAATATAACCTTACAATAAAATAGTGTTACATCATCTGGGTGTGCTTCCTGTCTGGACTACCTCACAAGGCTGACACAGCTCCTATTATCTTTGACCATTGACCATGATTGCTGATACTGATGCATGTGGCTGAAGGAAGGAGGGTGCAGTATGTACGTGCAAGTGAGCAAAGGGGGAAGGAGAGTGCTGGTGTGTGTGAGTGAGCGCAAAATGGAAGGAGGGCATGGTGCATGCATGCAAACAAAGGGGGACAGAGGGTGGTGGTGTGTGGAGCGAGGGAAGGAGGGAAGGAGGGCACAGTGCATGTGAGTGAACGAAGGAGGAAGAAGGGTGCTGGTGCATGCGAGCAAAGGGGGAAGGAGGGGGCTGGGGCAAGCAAGTGAAGGGGGAAGGAGTGCCAAGAAGCCCCTGAGCTACAGCATGGCAAGCAGCCTCAGAGCCGCGCAGTTCTGGGGCTCTTGCCGCCCCACAAGGCAGGGTGCAGGGTGATCAAAAGGGCAGAGATGGGTGGGGAGATAGGCGGGTGGATGGAGTTGGAGGCAGTCCTTTACCTTACTGAGACTCAAGGCTGAGAGGGACCAAGCCTAGAATGCCTTGGATTGGGGAGGGTCCTCAGGTAACAACTAGTGGAATTCACTTAACAATGGCAATGGGGAATGCCAGGATGGCCATCGTTAAGCAATGGAGTCACATGATGTCTCACTTTATGACCACATCATTTAGTCATGGAAATTCTGGTCCCAATTGTGGTTGTAAGTCGAGAACTACCTGTATTGCATTTTCAATTCATGAATAAAAAGTAACGCTTTTTTTAAAAAAAATGGGCAAAAAAAGCTAGGTTGCATGTTAAGATTGGTAAAATGTATACGCTATCAGTAAATAAATAGATAGTATAAACTTACCAATTGGCCAATTTTTTTTTATCAAGATTTTATTTGGTTATTTATATTAATATAATTGTGATATAAAATCTTTTCTCCAATGCATAGTAAATAAAGTTTTGGGGAAAAAAATTAGTAAAGCTTTGGCATATTTACTATTTAAGCAAGTAACTAAGCAACCATTTATATGCAAATAGTATATATGCTTGTAGAGGCACAAAATTGGGTAATCCAAAAAAGAGTTAGACAAAAAAGACAAATAGAAATCCTGCTTTTTGCTGGGGAATTTCTCCAGGACAGGCTGGATAAAGTTCTCTGGGATTCTCTGTAGAGAGAGCATTAAAGGAACATATAGTTCAAGGACGCTGGTGACTATCTCCACCTACATAGGGAGTATTTTTGTAGCACCACAGCAGAACAGCAGAGGGCAATGCATCCAGTCTAGCCAGAGTGAAGACCCAACAAGACTTCAGAATGATGTTGGTAGAGAGGTAAGAGGCTAGCATGTACCCATTTTGAAGAACCCTCTTGCTCAAGCCTGGGAACAAGACTTAGATTGATTTGAAGATCAATGTCCCAGATGCACCTGTGACATTGTGAAACATAATGGGGAGAAGCTCTGATCAAAAATCCTAGAAAGTGAAGTTCACCAATAATGGTTGTTGTTTTTTTAACCAGATTGATTTAAAACAGTTTCTAAAAACCAGTGAGGCCAACCCCCCTGGGAAGTTCAGTTTAGTCAAATGTTTAAAAACTAGTACAAAACTTTAGTGTGTATGCAAACCAAGTAACTCTAAATGTACCTTTACCACTTTTGAATGAAATCCCTCTACAGAATAGAGGAACCCCACTCCCCAAACCCCACTCCCCTTAACCCCTGCTAAGGAATAAGCAGTCCTATTTCAAGCAAGGTATAATGGTACTATCTAGAGGGAGATTGTGATTGTTCCTAGTGTTGGTCCTGCATGGTTGCATGGTTTGCTTGCTTTCCACCGTGCTCACTGCCATTCTTATAGCAAAGCTATCAATGCATGATGTAACAAGGAGTTCTATTTTTCAGCCAGCTTGTCACGGAGCCTGATGGTGATTTGAGCTGAGAGAAGTGTATCACTGTCACTGGGAGTCACTATCAAGAAGGAGGTAACAAGCAGTTGGCCAATATTATTCAATTCCCAGCAAATCAATTGTGCTCTCAGGCTACAGTTTGGACCTTTCTATTGGAAGTCTGCAGTTCTCAAACCTGTGACACTTTAATCTTTTCATATTGCTTCCTAACTGAATGTGTGCTTTGATTTAAAGCATTTTACCACAAATGACAAATGTCAGTCTTAATCTGTAAAATATTAGTTAAAGACACAGGGTAGAGAAATTGGTTTTATTTTATTTTTTTAAAGTTACTACTAAATATTGCTGAATCAGTGGAACATACTATCTTATCAACTTGTAGAAGTCGTGTAATTTCCCTAAAGTAAAACAATTTCATAAAAGATAAATGGCTTTTGGTCCGAGTTATATAAGATAGTGTTAGTAGACCCTATGATGTGCATCATTTTGACATGTATATTCTATATTACTTTAGTCTGTAGGATTAGGGTATGGATATTGAAGAAATATAAGGCTGATACCTGTACTCTAACAAGACCTTGGTTATAAATATTCATTATATGCATTTCTTATCCTTGGTTTACCCTTGAAACTTAATTTTCCCCCTTAAATGTATAGTTTTCTAGCTTACATAATATTGTGAGTATAATTGTTGCAGCCTCTCCTGACTTTAATGAAGCTCTAGAAATTCAGGCTCACTTAGAGCTTATCTTATCTAATTAGATCTATGATATAGCCTTGTTGTGATTGCAGATGTGAGATATATGTAACACACCATAAGCCATAAGGTGATTCACTTGTTTTGGCAGTATGTAGCATGCGAACCTACCATTATGGATCATGTACAAACCATGACAGTATGCATTTCATGATGCATGTATAAATGCCCTATGTAAACATTTTTTCCTGAACAAGATGAAAGGTTTTTCTGTAGAATTAGTTCATAAACTTTATTAGTTAAGTGCTATGAATGTCAGTGGGACATATGCAGAGAACATTGTCATGGATTACAGGAACTTTGTTTGAGTGAATCAGAACTTGCAAAAATATGCCTGCCTGGTTAGGGTTCATTGTTAGACATTTTAAAATGAATTATAGTTGAAGCCTGGAGACACAGTTTAGGTTCCTGCATTAGTTTAGAGACACATTTTATGTTAATGTATTAGTTTTAGAAGCTTGATGAATGTAATATTACTTCCTCTGAAAGAATGCCCTGTACTTTTTAACAATACAAATATTTATTTCTATTGGTCTTTGGCATTTATTTTGCATGTAATCAGTATTAAAGTGATTGGTTATATGAATTTATTATCTCTACAGTGAAATTAATGAAAGCCAAGAGTCTAAACTTTTGGACACAGAGAAAATTCATGTCATAATTGGACCATATGTCAAGCAAATGCTTCTTCAAGGAAAACAACCATAAGTCCCAAAATTTGTAAGAATGTTGTCCTATCCAGTTTTATTCAAAAGAGCATTTACATATTGAGGTGAAGGCTAAACTTGATTGTAAGTATTTCAGTATATTTTTTGTAGCCGATAACTAGCCCTCTTATATAATTATGCTTTTGACTCCTAAGCAGTACACATAATCAATTTTAATTAGAAAAATCATTTTTAGCAGGCAGAATTATAAATATTGACCTTGGAAAGTTGATATCAGATGCAATATTTAGTTATACCAATGATGTCCAGCTTTTTCAACCCAATTTTCCACTTGGTTTGACTTCAGTGCTGTGATTTTGCAAAGGTCATGCAGAATTAGTTATTCTGCTAAGTGTTAACCCCAGGATCATACTGGCTTCTCTTTCTTTCATTATAACTACTTGACTGAACAACCTATTATATACCATCACATACTTTTCTTTTCCAATCTTCTCCATTACTAATCTACAAGGTGGAAGAACTACTTTTCTGTAGCAATCAGGAAGGCCACTTTGCCATTGAGAACTTCATGTTTTGTGATCTGAATACATGTCTCAAACTAAGTGCGCAATGTCAGCAAAAGAACATAACTTACACATAAACCATACATATATTTGATCCCTATGTGTCTTTTGTCCACTATCATTGCTCCACTGTTCATAGACTACTTTTACTTAGTGACAAGCAGGCAATTGTTACTATGCAAGATTTTGTCCAGTGGCTTCAAGGCAACAGTCTTCTGGTGAAATAACAGCCATCAGGATTCCAGCTCCATGAAGTTTAGAAATAAACACCAATAAGATGAAGTGATTTTCCATCTAGAAATTCATGGAAAATTATACCAAACTAATGTCTTTCTCTCAAGTAACAGTAATCTATTTCATGACTATAATCATTATCCCTGTAAAATTTTGAGCCTAGGAAGTTAAAATTGCTTATTACTTCAACTTCTCTGCCTATTTGCACTGATACAAACACACGTTTTGCACTATACAATGATTTAGTCTGATCCTCCATACAAATTCATCAGTAGGATGATGATATTTTCAATCCATGGTCTTAATGGTTATCCACAATTTGTTAAAGTCTACAAAGTCAAAAGTCTTTGAATAATCATTTGACCAAAAATAGATGTCTTTTGGAACACCCTTGCTTTTTCTATTATCTACTGGCTATGATTTCAGCTGCTTCTGCTTCTTCTGAATTACACTTGTATATCTGGCAGCTGTCACTGCATGTATGAATGAAATCTAGATTTACAAAAATTTAAGCATTATATGCCCATGTTTGCATGAAAATTTCCATTTATTTCTGTAATTTTCTTAAACATATTTGATTATCATCCTCAAGTTCTTTGTTCCTTGTCTCTTCTTGTTCTATGGAACTTAGGGTTTAGATGGGCTTTTTTTTTCTTAGATCATTCAGTTACTTTCGGTGTTGCATGTGAGCCCTGACTTTGACCCAATTTTGTTAATAACAATGGTTATTCCATTTCTTCTATGATTTTCTTCACAAAGTAGAGAATTTGATTGCCCTCTGCTGTTAATTGATGGTATACATATTTATAGCATGAAACTTTCCTATTGTCTTTTCCTATTGTGGTAATCAGCAACTGGGGGTCCTTTCAGCTTTAACTCAGCCATTTTATAAAAGCCAGTGTTACTCATACTTGCCCTTTGTCCTTCCTTAGCAGCTCAATGGATATCACCCAGCCTAAGTGACTCATCTTCAATAGTATGTTGACATTGTCCTGGTTATGAATATCTATATGGTTTTCTTGACAAAATATTGGAGCAGGTGTGCCATTTCCTTCTTGAGTGGATTTTGTTTCATGGATCCCTTGTCTGTGACATGCCATCAGGATAACTCTTCTGGGAGTATACATTCTCACCATTATAGTTCATACTGTTGCTGAGAAATGCATGTTCCTTCAACCACTTCAAATTAACAACAGGAAGCTAATCTTGTTTCCTTAATATAACTTTAGCAAGTCACTGGATAGTTCAATTAAAACCAATGAGAAGTTTGCCACTAATGCTAGTGACAAGTGGACATGACTTTTACAATGATGTTTACATATTCTCAAAAATATTTAAGTGATTTACATTGTGATTTACATATTTTAAATATATATATATTTTTTCATTCTTAAATGGTAAGCAGATCATGTAATATATTGAAAGCCTTCTGAGGCACATCCACAGTTGTATAGTACATCCAACTTTCACCATTATTTTTAATTTTATATGTGTATTCATTTTAATGCCAGTGTAGTACCAATAGAAATGTAGCACCTACTTTCAGAGTCTTGCAGATTCTCAATAGCTGAAAGTAGCCTTGTCCTGTCTTCTGGATCTTTGATGTTAAGTTCAATTAAATGCTTTTCATTTAGATCTTTCAAATCTTCTAATGTCTGATAGCCATTTAGCAAAAGGGTTGATAAATAGTCCTAGAAGAGAAAAATGTAAATTCCAAATGTAATAAAGACTGACATTTTTACATTCACGGAGTGCAGGGCAGCCAAAAGGTCAGAGGTGAGGAGAAGATAGGTGGGTGGAGGGAATTGGGCGGCGTACAAATTTAATTAATTAATAAATAAATAAATAAATAAATAAATAAATAAAAATTGAAGTGCACACTGTGGCCGTAAATGCAGGCAGGCTGTCACCAAGCACCCAAATTTTGATCATGTGACCGCAGGGGTGCTGCAATGGCCATAACCAAGGACCGGTCATAACTACCTTTCATTCAGCACTGTTGTAACTTCAAATGGTCACTGAACAAATGGTTGTTAAGCAAGGACTACCTGTACAAGGCAATTGCTAGATAAGTCATCCTACTTTGTATAGAATAGCATGAGCATCCTTGAAGTAAAACTAAGTATTCATTGAAGTTGTGGCATACTGGCCAAAATGTGTCAAAACCTATCAGTACTGTCTTTATATAAATAGCACAACCATGACTAAGACTAGTAACCTACTCTATATGTTCTATATGTTATTAAAAAGAGTTATGTGAAAGCCTTAATTGATAGTAGAGATAAATATTTTGAACTGTGGTGCTGGAGAAGACTCTTAAGAGTCCCCTGGACTGCTAGGAGGTCAAACCAGTCAATCTTAAAGGAAATCA